TATGTTTGGGGAGGTGAATGGAGAGTGACAGACAATGCAAATAAATAACCAAACTAACCCAGCAAAGATCACATTTATAGGAGCTCCATAGTGGACTGAACAGTATGTTCAGATTTTTCTGACCGCTAGCACCTGTGAATAAGACATTATTTGGAAAAAGGGTCTTTGCAGATGTCATTAAGTTAATGATCTTGAAATGAGATCACCCTGGATTATCCAAGTGACCCCTAAATCCAATGGCAAGTGTCCCTATGAAACAAAGGCCTACAGACAGATGAGCAGGCGACCTGAAGGCGAGGCAGAGCCTGGGGTTGCGCAGCCACCGCCTGGAAAGCTGGGGGCGGAGGGAGCCGGCCAGGGGGGCGGGAGCGGGGGGACTGGAGCGATTCTCCGCTCGGGTCTCCCGAAGGAGTGCGGTCCCGCCAGCACCTTGATTTTGGACGTGCGGCCAACAGAGCTGTCGGAGAGCATCTTTCTGTTGTTTCAGGCAACGACATCTGCGGTCATTTGTTACCACAGCTCGAGGAAACTAACACAAGCTCTAAAGGACACGAAGCAGGCCGAGGGAGGCCAGGTGCTGGAAGGGCCCGCGTTTTCACAAGCTTATTCTCTGCAAGGAAGAGGCGACCAGAGCCGCATCCGAGGTCCCCCTCACGGGGACAGGCAGAGGGCGCTCTTTCTTGCTTTGGGCCAGGAGTGGATGCCTATCCTTGGTGTCGGCCAAACATCTCACTTCTGATTACTAAAAAAGCCTCTTTCCTGTGCAGGACCCATGTTATTCAGGTGGGGCCAACTCCTTCCCGGTGATCCCCCAAATCCCCAACTCTCATCACGCAAATAGAGGCAGGTGCTCACGTCACTCGCTGTAAGCCAATCAGCGACTCGCTGGGAATTGGCTTCTGGAACTCTGAGAAAAGACTCCCTCTGTCCACTAGGGGGCGCTGCTGGTGGGCTGTGATGCTGGGTCTGTGTCTCCTTCTTTCCCACTTTTGTATAAATTAGTTCTCAGTCTCTCTTGCTGATAAATGAAAGGATCCTGACTAATTTGAGGCCCTGTCCCGCTGACCTAGGCCAGAGCAGGCGTAGACGATAGGACTCTTTTTGTCTCGCCTGGACGGAAGACCAGAGGCAGACCTGCTTTTCAAAAAAGAACTCCCCTCCCCCAGGGGGTCCCGCCTCGCTTCCTTCTTAGCCTGATAAAGGGGAGGGAACAGGTCTTGTCGCTGTCTCCGCCTTGAGGGAGAAGCTAGAAGCGACCTAGAAAGAAAAGAGTCACTGAGCCCCCCAAACAAACTGTTTTTAACATCTTTGTTTATCCCTTTGAAAACTCAGGTCCCTAAGAGGGCACCGCAATTTTGTTCTTGGCTTTAACCTCTATCAGTGTTTCATTCTGTGTCAATCTCAGTTATTTGGTGCAAGGACAGAACGGATCCTAGCTGTTTCGATCAGGGAATAACTTTATCAGAAGACTGGAGAACTGGGCTCAGAAAATGCACAAGAGCAAAAATAAAAAAGGAAGATGACCGGGCAGAATCACAGCCAAAATCAGGCCCTGGGACCAATGCAGACTAACGGTTCCATGGCCAAAGACTGCCACCTCTCTTTCTGGGACCAGAGTGCCTGCCTCCCCGATCCTGAAGGAGTCTCCCCCTCCCTGAGGAGGAGCAGCCACCCTCCGGGGAGAAGATACCCAGCTGGTTGAGTCTGTGTCTCATGCCCAAGTCAGGAGAGGTGCGGGCGGGATGCGTGTCAAACGGGCTCTGCCTCCCAGTGGCTGTCCTAAGGGGGAATTTCCGGAACATACATTAATTTTAAAATATCTCTTTTGTCCCGCGGGTGGCAATGGCGTGGAGGCACTGGTCCAGGTCCCCATGTAAATCAAGGTGTGTTCACCCCAAAATCCCCTGCTCTACTTGCCCTAACCAGAAAATGCCATCACAAGTTTTCAGGCGTTACCATTTCTATTAATGTTTAGCAATGTCCAAATAACGCTTGCAAAAAAGTGTGGAAAGCTATTAATCAGGTTAAATATAGCCAAGTGACTGCAATGCAACCTTTATAAGGGAAAATAAAATCATCTGATCATCAGGAGTCCCTTGGTTGTTTAAAAAGTGACACACTTCACATTTTAGGGAATACAGTGTCATTATAGTTAACAGTGTAACTAATTTGATAAATTGGATTTAATTAGAGTATAGTTAACCCTTTTCATATAATCTCTTATGAGTTTTAGAATCTCCTTGAATTCTTTCTATCTATACTTTTCCTCTTGGATAGATAAAAATAAAGGGTGCACATACTAAAAATCTTCTATTTCTTTTATTTGTAATCATTATGTCACTGTATTTTTTTACTGTGTCATCGATTTTACTAAAACTTGTTTCAAAAAATCTTTTGTTGACATGACATTTTAAAAATGTGCATCTGAAGGACCATGCACTAATACTATCTTGCATATTTATAATGTTTGGCAATATCCAAATACTTTCATATGCATACTCTTGATTTACAACTTTTCATTACAGTAGATAAGGCAACAGAGGATCAAAGAGGCTGACAGTTCAAGGTCACATAAATAGTAAATTTTAAAGCTGGAAAACAAAATCTAGGCCTCCTCCACCTCACCCACTGGCATTTCCATCCTCTCATGTTGTAAATTGGATTCTTATGTTGAGTAGGATTGCATAGGTGATATTTTAAGAGTGTTGTATTTTACAAGTCAATTTAGTAAGGTACTCATTCAAATTTTTAAATATTCTTTATGATTTCTGTGCACTTATGTTCTTACACATGTATTGTGTTAAAGAAATTTAGGTAGCCTCTTAAAAGTGGAAAAGAAATGTCAGAATGTCTGCCTGCTGTGCTTCTCAAAGCCATTCGATAGTTCAACTTAAATAAGACTTTCATTTTTTCAATGTTATTATATAAATACCATACCAAAATTAAGTTCTTCATTCCACTTTCTAAGATCTACCTTTAATCTCACAGAGAGAAAGAAAATAAAAATGAGAATATATTGATGTTGTAAAGGCCAAAAAATAAATCAATTTAGAAGTCATATCTTTCTCCATTAGCAACTGTCATCCATTTGTACCCTAAGCTGGGCAGAGCACCCCGAACTCGGCCCAGTCTTGCTGCCGTAAGATTCACCCTTAGTTGGATGCACTAAGTTAGATGTACCCTTCTCTCTAGGTGGATATACTAAGTAACCAGGTCTCCAAAAGAGCCAGATAAATCAGCATTTGTAACTTCATGTATCATCTGTCTTGGAGAAGGAAGTTCATAGAGAAGAATAACTTTATCAAAACTGTGGTACGCATACACAATGGAATCTTACTTAGCCATTAAAAAGAATAAAATCTTATCATTTATGACAGCACAGATGGACCTAGAAGGTATTACACTAAGTGAAGTAAGTCAGTCAGAGATGCCATAGAATTTCACTTACATGTAGCATCTAAAGAACAATATAAACAAACAAAACAGAAACAGACTCATAAGACACAGAAAACAAACTGGTGGTTTGGGGCACTGGGTAAAAAGGGTGAAGGGATTAACAAGTACCAATTGGTAGTTACAAAATAGTCACGGGGATGTAAAGCAAAGCATAGGGAATGTAGTCAATAATATTGTAATAACTATGTACGGTGCCAGGTGGATACCGGAAACATCGAGGGAACGCGTTATAAAGAATATGACTGCCTAACCACTATTCTGTACACCTGAAACTATTACAAAATACTATGGAATGTGAACTCTAATTGAAAAATAGAAATATATATAAAATAAAAGAATAACCTTATCAATAAACTGAAACACACAGACCTCAAGCTTTTTAAAGATGTGGGTATAGACTCAACCAAAACAAAATGCAGCACGAGCATTTGAAAATCTGTCTGTTGCGACCGTAATCACAATGTATAACATGCTCAGTCTCCATCTGCTGGCTGTGAATGCTCACCACAGCCTTGTGCGGCAAGAGTCGGGAGGAACTGCGGAGAAGTTCCTGGAGGAATAGAGTCGGGCTTCCATATACTCTTGAGCTGATGGGATGGATTTATCATATTGGTAAAACCATTAACACTTTTGATTTGATGGCCACAGAATGTATGTGTACCATCTATCAATGCATTATTCAAATGTAGGTGCCCAGTAAATATTTGCTGAATGAATGAGTGAATGAATGAATGTTGCAGAGGAATTTAGAAATTCAGACATGGCCAGATGAACACAAGTCCTGCTTCTGGAACCCACCCAATGCAATCTTCCTGCCCTAAAATCATGGCACATTCCTCTCTGGTTAGCAGTGTGAACCACTGGTCCCGTTGGAGTGGTGCAGAAACAAATGAGAAATGGAAGGGCAGGAAAACCCTGCAGCCTGACTTTCATTTTTAACCTGATTTTTTGGCTTCCGGTATTTCTGTTCATTAAACAGGAGAAAAAATTAATTATCCCTAAGTTTCAAAACACTTTGCATGTTAACTCATTCCAGATGCAAACAACTTTAAAGGCAAAATCACTAGGGGGTATGTGGTGAACAGGGCCTAGTTACAAAAGGAGGTCACATAAAAATTAAAAAACACTAAGGAAGAAATAGTCCACGCTATCCAGGGGATGAGCTATGCAACCCCAGTAAAAATTAAAACCAAATTACAAACACTAATCAACATCTCATAACACACTCGACTCATTTGCATACAATGCAATTATCTTGATTGGTGCTGATCTCCCCACTCCCAGCTGGGTTAGTATGTCTCCCTGGACGCGAGGCATGGGCTTCTCCCCCACGCACTCGTGGGCTGTGTTCCCTTAAGACCATGACCATAATGGCAAATAAACAACAACTTATAGCTCCACTAAACTCTGAACATTTGAAATAAAAGCAATATAGACATCTTCATGGCTAGCCTTCGGGCTCCTTCAGATAAACAAGAAATAGCGCTCCATTTCTAGAACATTGTGCTTGATCTTGTGTTTTATAAAACCACACTGGTTTCACCCTATATAAAGAATTCTTCTTCTTCTTTTTCTTCACCCTGAGCTGGCAGATGAAAGGGACATTTTGAGATTATCTTCCTTGCACCAAGGTCCCTGGGGCCAGCAAGTGACAAAGGATGGATGCTCTCCTTCAAGATTCTGTTGCTTTTGGAGGCAGCTGCCCCCAAGGAGGATGCTGGTGGTGGCTGGTTGGTCTGAGGTGCCTTGGGACATCTGCCCAGAAAAGATTTCCTGGGTTCAGAGTTGACCACTGTATACCCTGTGTCAACATTGGTCTCTGCCTCCAGCTTCTCAAAGCTGTTTTTCCGACTGAAGACGTTCATTCTAGCCCCGGGTTCGAGTTGGGGAGGCTGCAGAGGCAGCTGGGCATTGGTGGCTGGCCTGCTGACCTCAGATGAGCAGCTAGGGCTTTTCCATAATGTTCCACTGCAGCCGTCCGACGCTGGGCTCCCACTGGGCTCAGGGAATTCCAGAGAGGCCGCTTTGGACCTCCTGCTCCGGCTCCTTCGCCTCCTCAGCTCTAGGACCCTCCTTGTGGAGACAGGAGTCACCCTGCAGCCCTGGGGAAGCGTGTCAGCTCCGGAGGTGCTCTTCCTGACACCAAGTCCTGGATTTGATTGGATCTGTCAGAAAAAGAAAAGAGGAACGTACATAATCAATGTTTTCTATTCACTAAGAGCTGAGAACAGACTGCGTTCTATTCACCCTCTGCCAAGCTGTGCTCATCGTCGATATTCAGTAAGTCCATGGAATTGAACAAAAACAATAAGCACAGTCCTTCAAAGGGCTGAGCTGCCATCTTTGTCTCCTGGAGAGTGAGCTGATGTATTTTACCTCTGATCCAGTGAAGCGTTTTCTTGTGGAAATGGAAACAGGCATGCTTATTGCCATATTCAGAAATCATTCACGCTTGGCATTAGACTTCCCAACCTTGTGGAAGAAATCTATAAGTTTTCTAAAACTCACTACCAACAAGTACAATTGCTGGGTTGTATGGTAAGAGTATATTTACTTTTGTACGAAAGTGACAAATTACCTTCTGAAGTGACTGTATAATTTTGCATTCCCACCAGCAATGAAGGAGAGTTTTTATTACTTCTCATCTTTGCCAGCATTTAATTAAATTTTTTTAGGGTTCATTTTCTAATTAATTATATTTAAATGTATGGTATAAAACACTAAAAAACATCCACTTCTAAGACTTAATTTTCAACAGCAAAACAATAAATGTGTCTGTGCTATCTGAAGGAACACTAGTCAGTTCTCTCATTTTTTTTTTGTTTGTTTTTATTTTCCAGAAGTAAAATTGGGGGAATCTCTAAGTTTGCTTCTTAGGGATTTTATTTCATTTCTAACAGCCATGAACAGAAAGAAAAGCCTGAGTCAGTTCCCCTCACCTCCTAAGTTAATCTCAGATGACAACAAAATTGGTCCTGAAGCCACCACCAGCACCAAGACATCTCAGGGCCTCCCAGAAGTGCCTGCCTGAGCCAGAGCTGGCGTCAGTGGGCCCTGCTCGCCAGCCCAGAGCCTCCTCCCTCTCAACTCTGCTCACCCAGGCCCGTGGCCTCTCCACCGGGCTCTGTCACCTTAAAATGCTCCACCTCTGAAAGACTCAGCTTAAACCTAGAGCTCTCCAGCCACCACCCACTCTTCAGCTCCAGCACTTCAGTCTCCCATTACATCCGCTCTTGAGCATCAACACCTCCCTCTCTTGGGCTCCTCGGCCCCTTCTATCTTCACTGCTTTCCACAAGCAATTTGAATCTGAAGACCATCACTTGTACCTCCAAAACCTCCAACTCCCCGCTCCCTTTCCGTCATGGCTTCCCTCTAACCCTCCCAACCCTGGGTCCATGTACGCGCCCATGTTTTCTGCATTGGTACCCAGGCTGCTGAAGAAACACTCACAACCGTTCAGATTGGAGCCACCATGAAGGCGTGGTTTCCAGCTGTGCCCAGCCCTCCTGCTTCCTTAAGTCACCTCTCTGCATTCACCCTGACAGTAGTTTCAAACCTTCTGACCCGCCCTTAAGCAATGGCACAGCGCACCCCCACCTTTCGTCAGGTGGTCTTGCCATCTAGGTTACAGAGAAAGCAAAAGCCATTATTAATTAGTAACTCTACCAGTTTCCTACCATTGCAGCCTTCCCATCCTCTCCACAACGAAAGCGAATCTTTGCAGTGAATCCATGGACTTTTGCTTCCCTGGGGACCCCACCCTGTCAACTACTCATTTTCTCCCACTTTATTATCTTGTTTGTTCAGTCAATCTCTAGAGAGATAGGTAGATAGATAGATCCTTCCTCCTTGCCAAGAGCAAAGAAATCTGCTTAAGTCTATCATGAAAACCACATCCTTCAACCCCCTGACCCCCACCAGCTCTCTGTCTCCTCTCCTGTACAGTCAAACTTGTTGATAAAATTGTGTCCACATTCATTTTTCCTTCTAACCTTCCCTTATTTTTCCTGCCCATGACATCGACTTTCCTTCTTACCACTGAAATTGCTCTTGCCAAGGTTCCCTACAGTCAGCCTCCTTGTTGTTCATTTTACCTTGAGCTCTGGTAGAATTTTACAAGGTAGAATTCTGGTAGAATATTTAAGCTTCTTGTCAACCCCGCCTTTTGGATTTTTTCCTTCCTGCCCATCCACTCCTTCTCAGCGTCCACTGAAGGAGCCTCTTCCCTGTGAGCTCGTATCTCTTCAGTGCTAACCTGGGCCCTCTCCCACGGCAATTTCATTGACACCCGTGCCTTCATTATTACTGAAATGATAATGGCTCCCAAAAGCATAACTGTAGCTCAGTCCCGTCTCCTAGGTTTCATACTTATCTACCCAACTGTCTGAGGCCCCAGCTCCTCCAACTCAACATTTCCAAAATTGATGTCACCTCCCTTCTCACACTAAATCTGTTCCACTGACTCTTTTCCTTGTCTTAGAAGATGGCATCATTAGCTCCATGTGACCCAAGCAAGAGCATCATCTTCCTGATGTCCCCTATCCCCACGGACTCTGCCTCCCAGAGGCTTCCCTGATCTTCCTCTCCCTCCATGCCCACTGCCCCGGAGCAGCCTGTTGTCACCTCTGAGTTACCGCAGCAGCCACCAGCAGGGATTCCCTGTGGATGCCCCTCCCGCCCTCAAATCCATTCTCTGCTCTGCCACTGGAGGAGTGTGGGACCAGTCGTGCTCATGGCTCCTTCCTGCTTCCGTGGCTTCCTGCTCTTCTTGTGATAAAATCCCAGCCATCCTGGGCGGCCTGCCACACCTGTTGCAGTCTGTCCTTACTCCAGCCTGATAATTCACCACATCCTCCCTTTCAAGCTTCATTTATCAGAATTGAACTTCTTTCCATTTGGTGGGCATTGCCTGTGCTTTCCTGATGCCAGTGTTTGTGTACATTTTCTCCACTGTCTGGGATGTGTCTCCTCTAACCCTTTCTCCTAAAAACTCCTTCTCATTGTTAACTCCCAACTTACACATCATTTTCTCTTGAAAGCCTTCTGAATCTGAGTTGGATGCTCCTAAATATCGATTCTGCCACTTATTACTGGTGGGACTTTTAGGCAAGTTACTTAATCTTCCTGTGCTTTAGTGTCCTCATCTATAAAAAGAGAGAATCAAGTGTGAATGTCACAAGGGTTTTGGAAAATATTAAATGATAATAGTGCCTGGGACAGAGTGGTGCTAAATATAAGTTGGTTATTATCATCATAATTAATATCATTACCACCTCTCCTAGCATCCTGTACTTCCATATCATATACCACACTGTTTTGCACTTGTCTGCTTTACTTCTCCGGCTCTTCCCCCAGGCGTGGACATCTGGAAGAGAGGGATTATGGGTACCTTCATCACTGTATTTCCAGCAGTTGGCACAGTGCCTAATACATGGTAAACCATCAGTAGATATTTGTTGGATAAAGAAAGCTTAATCTCTAAAAAAATATAATTTTTTGCACATAGAAATGTAGAATCTATAAATTAGGCCCCTAATTATTGACATTAGGTATAAACAAAGTCTTATCAAGAAAATTAAAAGTGATCTTCATCACATGGCTGGCCTTTTCTGCAATCTTTTTAAGAGGAGGAAATGTCAACTGTTCTTTCTTTAAGAAAAATCTAGCCCTGGCTGGTGTGGCTCAGTGGATTGAGTACTGGCCTGCAAAGCAAAAGGTCACCAGTTCAAATCCCAGTCAGGGCTCACGCCTGGGTTGCGGGCCAGGTGCCCAGTTGAGGACTTGCAAGAGGCAACTGATTGATGTATCTCTCACACATCAATGTTACTCTCCCTTTCTTTTTGCTTCCCTTCTCCTCTCTCTAAAAAGTAAATAAATAAAATCTTTAAAAAAGAAGTTTAAAATCCTTAGACCATATGGCAGAAGTGAGAACAACACTATTAGTGTAGAAATGCAGATGTGTGCAGTTGGAATGAAGAATTTTTAGAAGAAACATAATGCTGAGTGATTGAGACAAATCCCTTGAGGGAGAATAAAGCCTCTTCTGCCAAAAAAAAAAAAATACATTGAAATGCTCTTGTAGAAACTCTGATCATTTAGAGCTCATTTCTCTAAGAAATACTTGTAAAATGTTACAAATTGAAAGCTAGGTTTTTATCAAGTTTCAGGGAATATTAGCAACTATCTTGATGAGCAAGAAGATCATCTATCACTCAACTGACTTTAGAAACAAGAAAATATACATCACTGAAAAATGATAAAGCTATTAACGGGCAGACTGACATCATAAGGGGGAAATAACATTGTCTCTTACTAAATGTGATTCCAAGAGATAGCAAAAAAAGGATTTCTCCCACACTGAGAAAAGAATCCCATGGAAATGAATTATATATCCAATAGATAGTAAGCAACCCCAAACAGTGGCAGGCTTGCTTACGTAAGAGTTGAAACCAGATTCTTTCAATGAACTGATCTTTTGAATGATACTTATTTTTATTAATTGACCAAAATCACCAATACTAACTGCTCTTCTATAGCAGCAGCCTTCTAAGAAATGTCCGTAAATGTTCCTTCAAGGCAGCACAAACCAAACAATTGAGAGAGAGAGTGTGGGGATGGCTGTGCGCGCACGTACGTGTGCGCGCGCGTGTGTGTGTTCAGCAGTGGGGCGCTTGAGGGACAGGGACAGAGAATGGAAAGGAAACGAGCAAAACGAAGAGGAAGGAATAGAGTCCACGTGAGCGCGGCTGAGAGACTCAGAAATGAGAAAGGAGACTTCGAGAAATGCTGCAGAAGAAGAAAATGAATTACTTATTTCAAGAAAGACTATGTTCTTTTATTTTAAATGGCTAAAAAGAACATAAAGCTGAACTTAGCTACATGTCTGCTGATAAAATGAAAAGAAATGCCTGCTTGTTTATGCCAAACTAGCTTCTGGAATATACACCTTTTCCCTAGAGACAAACTTAGTCCCTGAAAATAAGCAGTCAATCAACCATTTTTTCAGAAGCAGCTGTCTGCCTGCAGTCTGAACTTCCTCTTCTGTCAGATGAAGGGATTTTACCTGATTAAAGGCTCTTGATGCCACTACATGCTACATATTAGAATCATCCAAGGAGCTTTTTTAAAAAAATGCATAAGCCTGGGCGCCCCCAGAGATTCTGATCTGACTGGTCTGGGGATTTTGGGAAGCTCCCCAGGGATTCTGATGTGCAAACAAGGCCGAGAACTCCCACATTACGTCATCTCTCAGGCCATCGTCAAATGTAAAATCACACCATTCCACGTGCATCTACAAGACCATAGAGGCGAAACAGGGATACCTGAAGCAGAATCTTGTTGCCGTCGTAGTCCTGCGTTTGCCACCTGGTGCGGCTGATGGGGACACACGGGTGGGGCAGGAGAGGCACTAACTGGCCAATCTCTTGAACCTTGAACTGCAGCACGGAAGACTCCTTCGGGTCGACAGACATTCCAAGGGGCAGCTGCTTCAGGGACAGCTGAAGGGCAAAGTGCTCGGTGGCATAGAGCACAAAGAAGCAGAAGTTGCTCTTCTGCAAGGTGGCTTCTCTCTGCAGAATCATCTCGTAGAGGCTGATGGCGTCTTCGTAGTTGTCAAAAGTGCAGTAGAGCGTCACTCTCAGGATCTCGGTGCCGCAGTGCACCTGCCTCACGCCCCAGACGGGCATCTGATTGTCCAGGCTGTAGAACTCCTGATGGGCAAGAAGGGAGGGACCCGGACTTCCCTGGATGTTCGGGGCAGGGGAGCAGTGCCAGGGCCACCGGTGTAGGGAGTCAAGAACACGGAACAGCCGCTCCTCGCCGAGGCTTTCATGCAGGAAGAGCAACACAGACATCCCCGGGAATCGGGACCTCTTGGGGTGGCACTTGTCATAGCTTTTCACCGGACTGACCCTCTCTGACACCATAAAGAGACGTACCTCTGGGAAAATGCCGTCCAGGAGCCGGTCCAGAGTTTGCTGCAGAAGCGAGCCATGCCCGGAGTTGGCAAGGAGATGCACAGTCATGGCCAGAGGCTCGTGGGTCTCCTCCATCCTGGATTGCTTGGGGACAGCAAAGCGTGGGGGCTGTCCCAGCTTCCCAAATGAATGGAGGAGCAGCCGGTCCTCAGCAGAGCCTGCGGCCCACCAGGAAAACTTCAGCCACTTCGGAGCAAACCCCTTACCTGCGGTCCTGCTTGCTGGCAGTCCCACAGTGAGAGAGTCTCCACAAACTGGGGCACAACAGCCTCGGCGACACACAGCAGCAGTGCGGTTGATGTCATCCAGCCCCTGCGTCATGTAACTGCCCGTGTTTGGCTTTTTCAGGCACTCCCTAGGGTTTCCATCTGACCTAAAAACCTGTGATCCTGTGAAACACCCGACTGGGTGGTTCTTACAGACACTGAGTAAAGGAAATGACCGGGCAAAAAGGAACCCGAGTCCGCTCTGTTAGGCCGATAGCGATCTGCCTAGTTGAAAAGACATCCATTTTACCGACCCACAATGGGTTCTGATTTCCTCCTTACATCCATCTCTCGTGTTTACAGTAGCTTGCCAGGCCACATGAATACAATGACTGCCTTAAAACAATTTGCAAAACTTGTCCCCTTGCCAGGAATTTTTCCCTTTTGTCTTTTTATTTTGTTTTTGAACAATTGATGCTAGGACATGGAAGACAAGATGTTTTTATCTAAACGATGTTGGTTGTTCACTGAAAGTTATTTGCTCTACTGCTCAGTCTGGGCGTGTGTACTAAAAAGATGTCACAAAATTTAAGTCTCTTTTTATTCATGCCAATTCTTTAAAAAGAATGAGGGCTTTCCAATGTCAATAATTATAATTGTTCCTATCTATTGAGGATCTCCTACTCACCAGTCATAAACTGTCTGAAAGCTACATAAATTGATTTAACCCTCCAGCAAACCTATAAAGAAGAAACCATTGTCCCCCAATTACTGATGAGGAAATTAAGGCACAGAACAGTTAAATAACTTGCCTAAGTTCTCACAGCTAAAAATTGGCTGAGAGAATTCTTGAACTTAAGAACTGAGAGGTCCCCTTGTAAGCCAGAGAGGAGGTAGGTAGGTGCCTCTCTGGGACCTGGTAGTCCCAGCCTGGATTTTCTTCCTCAGGATAAGGAAAGGACATCAAACTGATTCTAGTTGAGGACAGGCATAGCCCAGATACTCTGTACGTTCTTGAACCTTCAAAATGAACAATCTTCAGTAAGAACATCCAAGCTTTAAACATAACAGCCATCCTAATGTGTTTTAAATTTCCATTTGAAAATCAGCTCCTATTCTAATAGCTGCGCTCTAGAAAGGTATGGACACACACATTTTTCTAAACATAATTCTTGAAGCAAGCAATTTATTAATGCTTGTAAAGGAGTCCAGTGTGACTTAATGTTCTCTACATTAAAAAGTACTTTTGTGATGGAAACTATAACTTACCTTAGCTTTTTATTTATGTAAATTCCTTTAATAGTCTAATAATCAAACTTAACATCCAACAGTGTTATCTATCGAAAGGAGTTATTTCTACTCAGATTTCCTTTCTAAATCTAACCTATACTTCTCATCGTTTGTTCTGTTAAGTCCTATCTTTTTGCATTGGGAAAACCCTTAGAGGTTTTTGTAAAGATATTACTGTTTGCAAGGCTTTTTTTAACACCTTAATTAACGGTGCACATTGGCACTTGAAGGCAATAGCAACCGCCTCCCCCATGGCTGGAGCGCGGGCCCCTCTCCCCTTCCTCCCAGCCCCCCAGCTGACTGTATTCCCGGGCCTTGAAAGTCACACATGGCGTTTGAAATGCGATTCTGGAAATAACTCTAAAGTTTTGAGGGGAAAAATTATAACCCTGAGACAAAGATATTAACTCACAACATTCTGCACAGGTTAAGTGTTTAAGCCCTTATATGGGAAAAACTTGTTTTTTGAGGTTGTTTTAATCTTTCATCCAGTGTGAAACATACTATTTTCCTCATGAGGCTGTCGTTCCTGTCAGGATTGAAAAATTGCATTAATCTGATGGCAGCTAAGTGTCAAGAAATAGGGAGCCAGGGAGACAGGGGGCACCGGCAGTCTCCTTTCGGACTGGCTCTGCGATGCTTTCTCCAGGAACAACCTGCAATGTCAGCCTTCGCAGTAACTACCTCCGCCCCTCCTCACCCCTTCTACCTACCGCACGCCTGGGCTCTCAGCTGGGCCTCGGAGCCCACGTGGAATCTCTTTGGGTTCGCAAGCCGCTTCTGTTGAAGGCACCAACGACAATTCGAGGGAAGTCATCGGCTTCGACTCTTGGCACTTGGACAGCTGACTCTCGATTCTCCACCTGATCGCTCTTAAATTATGCCCAGGTATCTGTTAGTCACCAGGTCTTGGACGGCAGGCAGTGGGGTCAACTCCTCAGGCGACGCGGAGGAGCTGGTGACAGGTGGTCCAAGGCAATCTAAGAGAGCAGCTGGTGTGAGGGTTTGCTGGAACCCCTGGGCGTCCACAGGGATCTGTCCCTGCTGCGATTTTCATAAATACAACGGGGTACGTGAGAACTCTGAGGTCCCATCACCACCCCAAGACAACTTCGAGAGTTTCTGTCTCTCTTTATAAAATGGGCTTATTTGTCCCACATGCTGAGAGCCAGGCACTGTGTCAAGAGCAGATAATGATCACCATGACCCACTTTGGAGGATCACCTTAAATGAGGTCATCAGTGCCCTGAGAGCGGTCGCTGTAAGTAGTCAGGAAGGTCCCCAGGAGGAGCCTCTGACCTAGACGAGAGGGCCCGGGAAGCCTCTAGTCAGAGGGGAAGCTCCGTGAGGTCCTGAAAAGTCAGGAGGAAGGAGGCAGCCAGGGGAGGAGCTTGGCTTGGGTATGAGGGAGGGACTCCAGGGTAAGAAACCAAGTGGGGACAAGCCACAACTGGGGGAGAGTATAGAGCCTGTGACCGCTCGCCAAACGGCAAGCGACTCAAGATGGCTGGAGGGTGGGGACAAAGAAGGAGGAAGGTGGTCAGAGGTAGGAAAGGCATCCAGCCTCTCAGGTCACCCTAGAGAGTTGGGATTTTCTTCTAATGGGAACAGGAGCACGGAAGGGTTGGCTTGGAAAGAGAAGTAATCCTCTGAGGAAACCCCGAGGAGAGGGATGTAGAGAAGTCGGAGTTAAGGGGCAGCTTCTGAGCTGCTTGGATGTGGGAGGAAGCTGCAGTGACGGTCCAGGAGGCCTCCCCAGTGGCACTTCAGGCGCCTGGTGAGGCTGTCCGGCACCCCATAGGGAACCCCCGAGCACGGGCACAGCTGGGAGGGAGGCTGAGGGCGCGGCTGGGACGCAGCGAGTGCAGCAGGTGCCTGTGGGACATCAGACTGGAGATGTCTGATAGCCTAGCGGTCCCCAAGCTTTTCGCTACTGGGGACCGGTTTCGTGGAAGACAATTTTTCCACAGACTGGGGCAGAAGATTGGCTTTGAGATGATTCAAGCGCATTACATTCAAGCTCACCTCCTGCTGTGTGGCCTGGTTCCTCACAGGCCTGGGCCAGTACCGGTCCATGGCCTGGAGGCTGAGGACTCTTGCAATAGATACTTAACACAAAACTCAGGGAGAGGATCAGAACGTGGACTGGTGATTTGCTGGTCTTTAGGTCACGGTGGGAATGCACGTGATGACCCACGTGCAGAATACACGGTGGGGACAGAAAAGGTAAGAGAAGGGGACTCTGGAAGGCCCAGTTTCAGGGCCAAGTGATGTGCAAGTGGCATCCAGGGAGAATCAGAGAGCGAGTGTGTCATCCTAACCCTGGACTGGTGTCTGTGTGTTAGGTTACAGAGGTGGCTTCGGGAAGTGGCACTTGGCTGAGTGTTTCAGAACGTGTGTGACACACTCTACCTTCTCCATGAAGCAAACTCAAAAGAAACACCAAGGCAGCCTCAGAACCATTGGAGCCCGCTTTCCTTCTTTCCAAAGCAACCTTTAGCTCCACTCCTTTGAACTCGGTTGCTCACCAGGGACGAGGCACGGTAGAACTAAAGGCCACACTAGAGAAGAGGTGCTGGGAACGAATCCGTCCATACTCACTTTTCAACCCCTCACAGCAGCCTGCACCCCGGGACCTGCCTCGGAGGCGCCGGCAGATCCCTAGCGGAGGAGGCACCTTGGCATCTCCTAGGAATCCCAGGAGGTTAAGAGACCTGCCCAGCGCTGCATGGCTGCTTAGTGGCAGAGCCTGGAATTCCGGTTTGAAACCACGTTTCGCCACCACTCCTAAGGGAGGCCATGCACAGCAGCCCTGTCTGCTCGGGTGAGAGCCGTCCAAGCTCAGGACACACAGCCGGCACGCAGGAAGGAAGAAGGAAGATGCGAGGAACGGGCATGACGTGGATTGCTCCAGTCCCACGACGCCCGGGACACGGCTGGCTACCGTGCTTCCCCACCCTAGGCATTCCTGCCGGTGTCATGCCTGTCCTCAGCTTGCACCGCTTCAGCCCTTCTCCCGACACCCACACACACAGACACACACACACACACACACCTGGCTCCTCGGGGGAGTCCAGGCAGCAACAGCAGCACGCAGACAATGGAGGCCTGCCCACCCCACCCTCTCTGCGCCCCTCCTCCCGGGAGGAAGCGGCGCGCTCCTCTCCGCGTCGCCGCGGCGCTTTGCTGGACGCTCCTCTCCGGCCCCCCGGGGCTCCCCCGGCCGGCCCCACACAATGCTATCAGGTTCCTTGAAACGGCCATCTGTTTCCCCCTTTCCCAGGACAATGCAGCCTGTGCGCCGATACCCTGGCCTTTTCACAGGTGCGACAAATAAAAGCACGTTTCCTCCGGTTCTTTGTTGTGGTCTTCTGCTGTGACATCGATTCCCAGGCTCCGGCCGCTGTCGCTCTCGGCGGCACCCACCCCGCAGCCGGGAAGGGAGGCAGAGAAGCGCAGAGCGACGCGCTGCGAGCCGCCCACCCAGAGGCCCGGAGACCCGAAGACCCGGCTCCGCGGCGCAGCCAGGCCCGACCTGGGATTCCTCGTCCCTCGGGCTGAGTGTCGCCGTCTTCACGG